CGTTCGCAGACCCGTTTTCTCCCTTATCTTCTGTTATTTATGATGTCTTCAGACTTTGTTCCTGATTCCATACTTTGTAGAATTTTAGTAAATNAGTTATCGAGGTAGCTGCATGGCGTTCGCAGACCCGTTTTCTCCCTTATCTTCTGTTATTTATGATGTCTTCAGACTTTGTTCCTGATTCCATACTTTGTAGAATTTTAGTAAATTATGTAGTAGCTCATGACTTGTGACACCCCGGTTAGGGCTGAGTTGGGTTGGATTTCCGTATTTTATCTATACTTTCTGCTATTGGATATTATTAAACCATGTTTATACTATAATATTGTTAATTAATTGTCTTAAAAGGATGAATTAGGTTGAATGACTGGCCTTGTCTTCATGAGAGGCGCCATCACGAACAGGTTTGGGGAATTGGGTCGTGACAATGCTTAGAATGGCTAAACTGCCTAAGTCATTCTGGGGTGAAGCAGTTCAGACAGCCTGTTACCTGATCAATAGGAGTCCATTAGTTCCGTTGGCGTTTGACATCCCAGAGAGAGTTTGGACCAACAAGGAGGTGTCCTACTCACATCTGAAGGTGTTCAGTTGCAGAGCTTTTGCACATGTACCAAAAGAGTAGAGAACAAAGCTGGATGATAAATCTATTCCCTGCATATTTATTGGATATTGAGATGAAGAGTTCGGGTACAGATTGTGGGATCCTATAAAGAAGAAGGTCATCAGAAGCAGAGATGTAGTCTTCCGAGAAAGTGAAGTTGGAACTGCTGCTGATATGTCAGAAAAGGCGAAGAATGGTATAATTCCTAACCTTGTTACTATTCTTTATACTTCTAACAATCCCACAAGTGTAGAAAGTACGACCGATAAGGTTGCCGAGCAGGGAGAGCAACCTGGTGAGGTTATTGAGGAGGGGGATCAACTTGATTAAAGTATTGAGGAAGTGGAGCACCCAACTCAGGAATAAGAACAACCTCAACCTCTGAGGAGATCAGAGAGGCCAAGGGTAGAGCATGCAGGTACCCTTCCACAGAGTATGTCCTCATCAGTGATGAGGGGGAGCCAGAAAGTCTTAAGGAGGTATTGTCCCATCCAGAAATGAACCAGTGGATGAAAGCCATTCAAGAAGAGATGGAATCTCTATAGAAAATGGCACGTACAAGCTGGTTGAACTTCCAAAAGGGTAAAAGACCACTCAAATGCAAATGGGTCTTTGAAATCAAGAAAGATGGAAATGACAAGCTGGTCAGATGCAAAGCTCGATTGGTGGTTAAAGGCTTCGAACAGAAGAAAGGTATTGATTTTGACAAAATTTTCTCACCTGTTGTCAAAATGACTTCTATTCAAACAATTTTGAGCTTAGCAGCTAGCCTTGATCTTGAAGTGGAGTAGTTGGATGTGAAAATTGCATTTCTTCATGGAGATTTGGAAGAGGAGATTTATATGGAGCAACCAGAAGGATTTGAAGTAGCTGGAAAGAAACACATGGTGTGCAAATTGAATAAGAATCTTTATGGATTGAAGGAAGCACCAAGGCAGTGGTACATGAAGTTTGACTCATTCATGAAAAATCAAACATACCTAAAGACCTATTCTAACCCATGTGTATACTTCAAAAGATTTTCTGAGAATAATTTTATTATATTGTTGTTGTATGTAGATGACATATTAATTATAGGAAAAGATAAGAGGTTGATCGCAAATTTGAAGAGAGATTTGTCCAAGTCATTTGATATGAAGGACTTGGGCCTAGCACAACAAATTCTAGGGATGAAGATAGTTCGAGAGAGAACAAGCAGAAAGTTGTGGCTATCTCAGGAGAAGTACATTGAACGTGTACTAGAACGCTTCAACATGAAGAATGCTAAGCCAGTCAGCACACCACTTTCTAGTCATCTAAAGTTGAGCAAAAAGATGTGTCCTACAATAAAAGAGGAGAAAGGGAACATGGCTAGAGTTCCTTATTCTTCAGCAGTCGGAAGCTTGATGTATGCAATGGTATGTACTAGACCTGATATTGCTCACGCAGTTGGTGTTGTCAGCAGGTTTCTTGAAAATCCTGGAAAGGAACATTGGGAAGCAGTCAAGTGGATACTCAGGTACCTAAGAGGTACCATAAGAGATTGTTTGTGCTTTGGAGTATCGGATCCAATCTTGAAGGGCTATGCAGATGCTGATATGGCAGGTGACATTGATAACAGAAAAACCACTACTGGATATTTGTTTACATTTTCAGGGGGAGCTATATCATGGCAGTCGAGGTTGCAGAAGTGTGTCGCACTCTCTACAACTGAAGCGGAGTATATTGCCACAACTAAAGTTGGCAAAGAGATGGTATGGCTCAAACGGTTCCTTCAAGAGTTTGGATTGCATCAGAAGGAGTATGTCGTCTATTGTGACAGTCAAAGTACAATAGACCTGAGCAAAAACACCATGTATCATGCAAGGACGAAGCATATCGACGTGAGATATCATTGGATTCGAGAAAGGATTGAGGATGGGTCTATGCAGGTAAAGAAGATCCATACAAGTGAGAATCCTTCGGATATGCTGACCAAAGTGGTACCAAGAGACAAGTTTGAGCTATGCAAAGAACTTTGTCGGCATACACTCAAACTAGAACCTCCGGTGTTACCTCCTTCAGGTGGATGAGACTGGAGGGGGAGGTTTGTGGGGTCCATCCTATAAATCAAGGAAGAAAATTTTCTTCCTTGATTAGTGGCCCATGTTTCCCTTCTACATTTGTCAAATATGGCAGGCGTGCAGAAGAATAATGTCAAGCGTAGTAGGCGAGGTTCTGCCTATAAAAGGAGAGCTTCAGCTCTCATTTTTGACACACCAATCTCAGAGGAAAAATATATTTGAGAGTTAGAAAGAAAGAGTGAGGTT